CACGCACGCACGCACGCACGCACGCACGCACGCACGCACGCACGCACGCACACTAGCAAGCAAGCAAGCAAGCAAGCAAGCAAGCAAGCAAGCAAGCAAGCGAACAACCAAGAAACCAAGCAACCAACCAAACAAACAACCTACCGACCAGCAAACAAACGAACAACCGACCGGCCAACCAACCAAGCAACACGCAAACAAGCAAACAAGCAAACAAACACACAACCAACAATAACACACAAAAACAAACACACACACACACACAAACACATAGCACAATTAGAGCACGTGCACACAGGCTCGCGAATGGCGACTTCATAAAGACGGCCCTTGTGGTTGTAGACTGAGGTTCTCTGTCGGTACACTAAAGGACATGATCCTGCCAAAAACCATGGAAAGTCTCGCTCCCGAGGTGGCGCTTAGCTGTGAAGCTTGGCGCTCGCGCTGAGGTCGGACTGATTTTGAGACATCCCCAAGTTCAGATGGCTTTGTGGGATTTCATGGGGGCTTGCAGCTGGCTAGGTGGCCTCGATTCCCCTTTGGGTTTGGGTTTTTTTTTGGGGGATCGAGTTGGAAGACTCCCAAGAGGCCACCCGAGAATAAGCTTCTGCAAGAGTGGCTTGACCAAGAGCTGAATGGCTGTTGGAAAGAGCTAGGGAGGCTCGGAAATTCTCATCTAGGTGGCACGTTGGGAAACTTTAGAATTTCCCTTGTGGTTCGTATAGAGGCACCTTGTCATAAATACTTGCAAGGGCCCCAAACCTACAACCCAGTCACACATTCCAGCAGATCGCGGTTTTGGTTTCGCGCAAAAGGCATGGCACAAATCTGTCAGGTTCCAGGGGGCCCAGAGGCCACAGGGTAGCAGGGTTGAGGAGTTGCTCTGGTGAGGGTTGCCATGGGTTGCTACAGGTATTTCGGTTCCTAGAGGGTGTAGGGCTCAGGAAGTTGAGGGTGCAGGATGCCGGACTCGACTCCTCGGCCTCGCGTAAAGTTCAGCCCCTCAGTGGTTCCGTATTGCTGTCACCAGATTTGTGATGTTTTCTGCAGACTGGCGCTGAATGCGTGAGTAAGTAAGTGATGCGATGATTTTGAGTCTTGGCTTTGCATCCTTCTGTGTTCCTGTGCGGCAGTTCCGACTATGTCAAGTGCTGCTTGGTTGGCTCACATCGAACAAACTCCAGAGTAATGAAGCTCCGTGTGCTTTCAATATTCGTAGTTCGGAAAAACCTGTACTATACTATACGGCGGCTTCAAGCACTGCAGTAGACGAAGCTGCACTAGAGTACACGACATTGCACTCTGGCTGCCTATTTCAGAACGCAGCGTGTGAGGTCTTTGCACGAGAGAGCAAGCCGGCAAGTAAATTGTTGGAGCAGCGAGCATTGTGATTGCTATTTCGGGAGCGCGGGTTTAAAGCGGCAAATGACGTCGATTCATATCACTCTCTGCGGTACTAATGACGAACCAAGCATTGGGCTGGTGATATCCGTGCCAGATGCAATATATAGTATGTAATACTGTTGATGATATAAATCTTGCATGACCTTAAGGACCCTAAACTATGGTAAACTATGGCAAATTCCTTATTTTCGGTAATGCAGAATTTCTTTCATCAACCGTATGATATAAGATATCATATACATAGTATGTAGTAATTAGTTAATATATGTATATATATATATACATATACAAAAGTCATGCCTTCGCTTGGTCAGGTCAGAGACGACGCCGGCTCCGACGAGAAGCCTGTCAAGGAGGAGCACTAGTCCAGGGGCGTCGGCAAGTGGTTAGTAGCATGAGTTGGGTTTAGGGTTTAGGGCCTTTAGAGTTATGAGTTTGACCAAGAAGCCATCAGTAGACTGGTGCTCATGATAATCGCGAGAAGCAGGTGTCCTCAACACCATTCCTGATTGGAATTTGCTGCCTTGATGCTGTGTCTTGTTCCGAGCTCCACCGCGAGGAAGGAACCAAAAAGCCAAAATGTTGCTGTACACTGATGTGATCCGGCGCATGTTGCCATGAACAGGTGCACAGTCTAATTGCCACATTGTGGAGTGTTGTGGTTCCCTTGCGAACCAAGACACCTCCACGTTACGGTAGCTGCGTAGCATAATCGTTGGTTCGGTCGAGCTATCCATAGCAAGCTAACACAGCTGATGGGCTCGACTTGGTGCCTGCCAAATGGCAGGTGCCTTCCCTCACAGTCTGCCCGAAGTGGAGACAAGAAAAGCTCTGGGAACCGTTACTGTGAACTCATTGAACCAGTGGAGATAGTTTGCTGCAAGTCCGCACGGCACCTAGGGTCCATCTGCCCCAACAGGCGGCAAGCTACATTCGCGGACTTGCAGAGCTGCTTTGTGCAGATGGCATGTGCATGGTGGCCAGATGCTGAGAGTAAGGGCACCAAAAGGCACCAACAGAGCTGTTGCATCTGACACTTGTCAAACCAGACTTGGCCAACCTGATGCGCCTGCAACTCCAAGTCATGCATTCGTGAGGTGTCGAACATGCCCGCACGGCACCGGCACCTGGCAGATCTCTTCCAGATTGCCGAGGTTGTAAAGCTTCATCCCGAGGATCTGTGGATGTTTGTTTTTGGCATCAGGAAATTTCTGCAGCATGTGTTGGCAAGGAGGAGCCTTTTGGACCCTGCCTGTACATCTGCCGGCGGAGGAATTCTGATGCAGAGATAGAAGTTAGCAAAGAGGAGATGTACCCTGCAAAAGAAAAACGGTGCTTCCGCCAGCACAATGCAGCGATGAGACTCCTCTCATTGGTGTGATTAATTGCGTGGGCTCTTTGGCAGCGATGTGTGTCAATTTCCCAGGGGTGGAGAATTTTTGTTTGGCCTTGTTGTTTCTTTTTGGCCTGCGGGGCGCGGGTTGGGTGGGGTGCAGGGGGGTGCGGAGGCTGCGGGGAGCTCGCGAGGCGTGGGGGCGGCGGGGAGGGGGGTGTGCTCGAGGCCCAAGTCTTTACGTACAAGTGGGGTTCGAAGCACTTTACCGTTGGAAGCAACATACCGTATAGACATGGCGTAGATTAGGCTTGATGCGATCTGTCATACAAGCATTGTATTATTCTATCTGATATTGATATTAATTCGCTATGATATGTTTATTGGGGTAAAACAAACTCTTACATCAATAGAAGAGTTCCAGTTTTGGCAATACTGCAAAATATGCTACAAGTCAGTCAAACATTCTATAACAAAGACTCGTATTGCTATATGGTTATACGAATACTATATCAAGAATATGCAGGCTTGGCTGATATGTTGATAGACAACTACTCTTACTTGCGAATATTATTTTACATGAAGAATGTTAGTATTTGTTTCTATTGTGTTATGGTACAGAATAGTATATTTTACAATAAAGCCCCACTGCATATTGTATACACCGTATCATGCTGTATTCTATTCTGTTTGGCATAGTGCTGTCTTCTAATACAATGTCCTATTAGACTATTATAATATTGCGTATATAGATACACAAAACCATGTATATATATATATAGACTATAGGATAACTATACTATGCTGTAGTGTGTTACATTTTTGTTTGAAATGTTTCTTTTAGGGTATATTTGGTTTCATCATCTTATACTAGATTGTGTTTAAACTTTATGGTACTTTCTGCCTCATATGGTAATACCGTACGATACTGAAGAATCGTTCAATATGCATACTGTACGTGTACAAAACCATACAACATCAAATAAACTTCATAATATAACAAAACATCCCCGATGTGATGTAGTGTTAGTTCACGTAGTAAATTGTAATCTACTAAGGCATGTTATCTCACAGGATATGCGTTTCAATATGTCATGATAAAACATGACAGATCGGAAAATAATATGGCATGATGTGATATAACCGATATAACATAACATATTAAAATCGTTAAAAGCCATGACCCGGCATTGCTAAAAACCTTCGAGATTGTACATCCTAAACTGTGACCCGACACTGAGAAGACCTGCTGCATAAGATGGGTTTGGGAAGCTGGACTTTTCTTTGCGAGGCTGGTCCATCAATAGTCTGTTTGCTGGTGTGTCGTACAGCTGACACAAATTTCGTCAAACTTCCAGCCCAGTCCCCCCGGTAATACGTAGGTGCAGCAGCACGGAAGTAGGTGGATGTCTAAACGAAACATTTCAGTCAGTATTGTAACACAACACAACATAATATAGTTATCCTATAGTCTATATATACATGGTTTTGTGTATCTATATACGCAATATTACAATAGTCTAATAGGACATTGTATTAGAAGACAGCACTATGCCAAACAGAACAGAATACAACATGATACGGTGTATATAGTATGCGGTAGGGCTTTGTAGCAAAATATAGTATTCTGTACCATAGCAGCATAGAGACAAACACTAACATTCTTAATGTAAAATAATAGCCGTAATTAAGAGTAGTTGTCTATCAACATATCAGCCAAGTCCTGCATATTCTCGATATAGTATTCGTATAACCATATAGCAATACGAGTCGTTGTTATGTAACGTTTGACTGACTTGTAACATATTTTGCAGTATTGCCAAAACTGGAACTCTTCTATTGATGTAAGAGTTTGCTTTACCCCAATAAACATATCATAGCGAATTAATATCAATATAAGATAGAGTAATACAATGCTTGTATGGCAGATCGCCTCAAGCCTAATCTACGTCATGTCTATACGGTATGTTGCTTCCAACCATATATTGCTTCGAATCCCACTTGTACGTCAAGACTTGGGCCTCGAGCACACCCCCCTCCCCGCGCCCCCACGCCTCGCGAGCTCCCCGCAGCCTCCGCACCCCCCTGCACCCCACCCAACCCACGCCCCGCAGGCCAAAAAAAGACCAACCAAGCATAATAACACCTCCATTTACCAGGGATGTGTCGAGATGCCAGTACCCCACCGCCTCCTTGGCTCATCCTGTCAGGCAGAAGCCTCCAAGCGGCAAGCTACTGATTCGCGGGTACTCGAAGTGTAGCATCCTCATGCACTTGTCTCCAGCGACATCCAGAAGAAACTCCAACCAAACATGTAAGCACTTGGCATGATTGGGCCAAAGATGCCCTGGCCAATCACGCGTGAAAAGATCGGTGGAGTGCCCTGCACCAGCATGCGTTTACAAGACACAAAGCAGACAAGCCTCCCGCAATTCGGGTATGTGAATTGCCGGATTGTAATTAAAACCGTGTCTCCTTCTAGCCAGAGGTCAAGGTTATCGTACACTAAAGCGATTTATCGTGAGGTGAGTGTTTGATGGTGCTTGCCAAGAAGACGAGTCACGGCATTCATGGTAGATTCCGGCCGAGTAGCTTTCTGCTTGCCGCAGCTGTTCACCAGGGCATGATCTTAGCTGTCTAAGATTTGCTGTATGCTTGGTACTTGAGACTGGTCCGCGCCTCAGCATCTCTCGAATTTGGGTTCTTGTACAAAGCAGGATCTCTGGGCGTCCTTGCTTCAGCTCGCGTTGTCATGAGAACGGAAGGGGAGCCAGAGCGGGGACTGGACAGTTTGAATCCCTTGAGCTTCCCTAAGTCGCATTGAGCTTCCCTAAGTCGCACTTTGACAAGCTTTTGAATGTCCCTTTATAGTTCCTATGAGGACCCGAAAACCCACTTTACCCAGCTCCCGTCAGGAGGAATGGGCGGCTGCGGCTCAAAAAGCCGAGTGGAGGCGACGCAGCCTAAGGCTTCGAAGGCGGGCGTCCCGGGCTGCGGTTCTGGTTCAGGGTTAGGGTTTAGGTTAGAATTCTGCAGAGTCGCCGTGAGAGATCTTGGGCTTCGGTTGCATCTGTGCATGCACTGAGCTTGCTTTGTGCACTGGCAGCATGGGCTCATCTTGTCGCTCTGGCGCAGGCTCCAGAACCTCAGATCTCCAACCTGCATTCAGATCCTAGTGGCCAGCCCATTGACGCTGGCAGCTGGTCTGCACCGCGAGAAGCACATGCTTAGGACACGCATTACACTGCATCGTTGCGTTGTGACAGCTTCAAGTTATACTACGTTGCAGAGAACTATAGCATACTGTTTTCGGGTATATGCTTCTGTAACATCTTGTATGATGAAGGATGGCCTACTGCCGCCGAGCGTGCTCGCTCACAGAGACCACAGACAGCATAGCATGCACCATGCCCTCGACTAGTTGCAATCTGGATATGGCCCGAAACCTCAAGAAAAGTCCCTAAACCCTAAACTCTAAACCCTAATGGGCCATACCGGTACTAGAGGCCAGATGCGGATCCAGCAAGAACTGATTCGTTTAGGGCGTCAGTGTATTGTAGTTCTTGAAGTTGCGTTTGGCACTTTGGGTTGCGGTCATAGGCATATAGCATTTAGCTCAACGGACCGCATCAGTGCCCTAGCCTATGCTTCGATATATCATCGCATGCAACATGTAATAGAACTGCAAGGGCGGGTGATGGCCTTTTAGCCTGGGCATGCAGTTAGATGACATAACTAACCGAACATCAGTCCAAGCAAAGCGTGCTAGCTCACAGTGCAACCTGAGACGAAACAGCATGGTAGACACTCTTCTGCTGCGGTTTCGCACGGATACAATTTAGGAGGACCGGACACGGGGGGAGACAAGCGATGACATGACATGACACGAGAATACAACCGGTACAGTGGAATACTACAGTGGACAAGAGATCAGAACACGACAGAGCACACGGAGCAAAGCACATTAGAACAGACATTGCATGCGGACGCTTTTTTTGAGGCCGGGCTGCATTTAATCTAATATTTTTCAATCAGCCATCACTGGATCCGTCCTGCAGTCTCGTTGCTCAGACAAGCAGAGTTCATCGATAGGATTTATCTTTGGAATCCTCCTCAGACTCATGATGTTAACCTGTACTGTAGCATCTGCAGCTGAGGCGCTGGCCACAATGCAGGCGTGATGTGTTGGGGCTGTTCTTTGCGAGATGGGTCTAGGCCTTGCTTACGCAGCCCCGCACTCTGCGAGGTACTGCAAAGGCCGCCAAGCAGCTTTCGCCAGCTAAGGGGGACCTTTCCAAACTACAAGCGCCTTCGTCTCAGCTTCGTTCCTGCAGCTACTTCCCTGCCTGATGGCATTGTATATGGCGGGTGGGTACAAGTGGTGCCGCATGCTTCGCATAAGGCCCGCGGATGATGTGCAGCTCGTGCTCAGCGCCGGTGACATCCGCCCGGCACTTAATCACAGTGGCTTTGCACTAAGTTGTGCTTCAGCTTATCGTTCATGACATTATGTCATTGCTACATGATGCCAGAATGTACGGCATAATACCCAGCGGTACCGCAATTCGACGTACTGGCGGGCCATCTTCAGCGGCGCCTCCTCTATCCCAGCCAGCTCCACGCTATGTTGCTGTAGTGTTCCAGCAGGGCAAGATTTACCGTTTCTGTTGGTAGATGGCTTAAAAGGCGTAGCATGTTCGTAGCTGTCGTAGCGTCATATCACCGGAATAACTCACTATCTTAAAAGATCTCATATCACGATCTTATCATACAGCGTTGCCGAATCGAAACCATATGGCGTGTTGCAATATTCTCACAGATGATGCATTTGTGTGCTTCGCCATGACTTCGGGTTTGTAGAGCCATGATTCTGTTGCAAGTGCGCAGTTTAGTTTTAGTAAATGTTGCCGTCTGGCGGTACCCAGGCAGTCCGGCATTCTCGAGTTACGTTTCGAAGGGCGTAATTCTGACAAAATCTACAACCCTAAACCCTAAACCCTAAACTACACTCTTGCCATCCAGGTGACAAGTATGAGATCCTGGCCGTCTTGGGCAGCGGCTCCTTCGGCGAGGCGCATCTTCGTACTGACCGGGTAGAGCCCCCCTTTCACAGCCCTCTAGGGTTTAGGGTTTAGGGTTTAGGGTTTAGCACGAATGCTACTGCTAGTCAGAGTAGTGAGAATAAGAATGAAAGGCATAATGTTCAAAGCAAGAAGAAGGAATAATCAGAATCATAGCAACAACGCTAAGACTAGCACTAACACTGACCCTGACACCAGCACTAACACCAACATAATGCTAACACTGACAGTAACACTAACACTAACAATAGCAAGAACACTGAGATCAACACTAGCTATAAGAATGACAGCGACTATGATCATGGCAATAGCACTAGCTGTAGTAGTGGTCGTATAAAGTGTTAGGAATAGTACTAGCCAACAAGAAGAATAGCAATAACAATAGTAAACATAGGACTCGGAATGACCATAGTATTAATATTCAGAGAAATAACAACAGGAATTCAATGCTGATACTAACACTTGTACGACTAAACTACTGATCGTAACACTACTACAAATGTTTATCATAATGCTAATACTGGTACTTATTAGTATTACTTCCCAATACGAATGCTCGTGCTGTGACGGATAACAACCATGATAACAGGAGCTACCATATCAATAGATGTAATAACAGCAATAAGTTCCGTAATACTCATAATACTGGAAAAATTCGAATCACAATGCTCCCCCACTGCCTCGGATCTCTTCAAGCTCTGCTCTCGGAAGGTGAAGGAGATCAGGGTCAAGGCCTTTCCCGATAAGCTACGCGCCGTGAAGATCACCGAGCGCCAGGCCCGGGAAGTGAGCGTAGTTTCCGGGTTTCGAGACATAAGGCTGAAGACTCAGCAGATGGCCTTTTGCAGCAGATTCTGAAGCATAGACGTGGTCTGCTTTCAGACTGTCCCGCCCTGGCGTTTCAGAGCAGCAGTTGAGCTCAGCTACGCAGTGCTGCTAGAAGCCGGTGGATGCCAGCGCGCCAGGTTGATGACAAGGGAGAGAAGGGGCAGAAAAAGCTTGACTCCTTGGCGATGTTCCGGAAAGAGGTCGAACTTCTAAGATCTTTGAAGCACCCGTGACTCAGCTTCACTTGAATGAGTCAATGCTTCGATGCAGGTTTGGACAACATGCATGCATGCCAACTGCATGTTACACATACCGAGCTGAGGAACATCGTTCGAGTTTGGGACGTCTACGACGCCAGGCTTATCTTGCACTCTCAGCAGCTCGCGCACGCGGTAATCCTGTAACTGCGTGCACTACTGTGGCTTACCACCAAGTGGGCTAAGGAGACATCTCACTATCTTTATGTAGTAATGGACCTGTGCCGCGGCGGCGAGTTGTTCGAAATGATCAACGAGGCAAGTTATGCAGACTGTTTGTTTGCTAGGGAAACGGCAAGTCTCTGGTCACGTCCATTGCATCGGACTGTCCGTCTTGTGCCCCCTTGTCCTGCAGATGGATCGCCTCTCAGAAAGCGACACCGCAGTGATTGCAAAGCAATTGCTGGGACGCTATGCTGCAAATTGCAGATGCTGTGCTGTCAGTGGGTGGACGCATTGCAGCGTGCAAAGCTGTGTTTCCATGTTTCCATGTGCATGCAGCAGAAGGTGGCATCGACTACATGCACAGCAAGGGCGTCATGCATCGGGATATCAAAGCCGAAAATGTGCTGCTAACCGAGTGGTCACCAACGGCAGTCGTGAAAATCATCGACTTCGGTATCGCCGCGAGGCTGGTCATCGGGTCATGTGCTCTGATCGACATCAGATGCATGCACAGGGAAGTGTCAGTGCACGTGTACCATGTAGGAAATTGGAGCGGATGATCGTAAGATCCATGCTTGCGCTAAATAGGGTTGCTCAAACGTCTTTCTGTCTTCTGACTCGGATCATGACTAGAGATTCGCACACTTTTATCACACACCTTTATCACACACCTGTGCTTTTGGAATCAACCGCTCTACAGTAGAAACGCAGCGATGACACAGCAAATGTAAGCTGACTGCGTGAGTCGTTCTGTTGCCACATGGTAAGAGATCCCTGCAGGTTTCAGCGTGGAGAAATGTTCGACAAGATCTCGGGCTCGCCCCAATACATGGCGCCAGAGCTTGTTGGGCAGCGCTATGATTACCGGGTAGATATGCGACTTGGACAGGCACTGAGGCCTTGCTTGCCATTCCAGGTTTCATTGGCTTACCTGCTTCAGCACCCAGGTGGGCATTTGGCGTCCTGGTGTACTTTGCTCTGTACGGGCGCTACCCTTTCGACGGCAACAATGTCCGTGAGATTCTTTTAACAGTCCTTCATGGGACTATTGAGTGGGACAGTGACGCAGCAAGGCTGCAAAGGTGTGCACAGCCGCATCGAGTGTAAGATGCAGAGCCTCATGGATCTGACCATCTTCGGCCAGGTATCGATTGATTCAAAGACCATTGCCTTTCTTAAAGGATGTCTGAACAGAAAGCCAAGAAAGAGAACTACGGCGAAGGCACGGTAGCATTACAATTGTTATTGTTCTTGGTCTCCTTCTTCTTTGTCTTCTTCGTACTGTTCTGGCTCAGCTGGATCAAGGCTGCCATGAGCCATCCCTGGATCATGTCCGCGAAGAAGCCGGATGCCGAATCCTGGACGTACTTGTCGTATATCGTAGTATGATGCCAGAATGCCAGGTGGATGCCTCCCTCTAAGTTGGTGGTGATGCCACTATCTCTGCCAGCCCAGGAGAAACATCGGGAACCCACTGAGATCAACATCTCCAGCGATATCCTTAAAGGGGATCCGAAGAATACCACCCCAGGCTGGTACCCTAGGGATCTTGAACGTGTACCTTGCATGCTTATTCAGCCTTGCAACGTCAGGCACCGAAAAGAAAGCAACTGCAGAAAAACCAGAAACAGCCAAAGATGACGGCTGGCCTTGCCATGTTTGGCTTTCTTGCCGTGAATGTGTTCGCCGCGGGTGTTTCAGGGCTTCGTTTGACCCTTTCCTCAGTGGCAGGAGGCAAGCGAAGCGCCCTTCGTGTGCGACAGGACGGCTGCTGGAGCAGGAGCAGTAGTCGCCGTCGTATACTGAGACACGGAGTGTCAGGATGATCCGTCAGCAGCCGCCGGCATTGGCCAGGACAAAGCCGGCATGGCTCAGAGGGATCCAGACTGCACGTCCTTTACTTTGACTTGTGCACCCTCGTAACCTAGTAGTGACAAGTCCAGCCTCAGTTCGAGCCCGAATCAGTTGTGGTGCAGCCGCGAGCTCGTGATATACATTCGGCGACCGAATTCTGAAGCTACCAGTTCCGACGTCCAGTAGCCGAAGACAGATGCAACTCTCACTCGCCTGCAAAGCCCAAGTCTCCTAAAGCCACACCGAAGGAAGCCACTGGCTCTCAAGGTGCCACAGAAGAAGAAGGCGGGAAGTCTTGGGGAATCTCCATTTCTTTGAGCCTCACAAAGGGTCCTGAACATGTTGAATGGTGTCAGGCCAAGTGGACTTCATGTTAGACCCCAACCAGGCAGGCAAGGGGGACGCATTCAATTGCTACACGTCCGGTCATTCCAGAAGGTGTGATGTGGCGTTTGTCCAAACTTGTCTGAGGCACTAGAGTTCCAGGACATGTACTCAGATTGGAAGCGACAAACGTCCACGGACAGTACGGCTTCCTCGCACTTGACTCAGCTGCGGGCCGGGTAGCAACCTAAAACACCAAATCAAGGTCCCTTGTAGATATTCTTTGTAAATTGTGCTGATTTTGTGTTCGAGAACGGCCCATGTGTTAATTTCATAGTTCTGCTGCCAGTTTCAGCAACAGCAGCAGTTGCAGCAGCAGCAGCAGCAGCAGCAGCAGAAGCAGCAGCAGCAGCAGCAGCAGCAGCAGCAGAAGCAGCAGCAGCAGCAGCAGCAGCAGACCTAGAAGCGGCGCAGCAGAGGTGGTGCAGTAGTCGGATTGTGCAGTAGCAGTAGCAGTAGCAGCAGCAGTAGCAGTAGGAGTAGCAGTAGCAGTAGCAGTAGCAGTAGCAGAAGCAGCAGGAGCAGCGGCAGCAGCAGCGGCAGCAATAGCAGTAGCAGCAGCAGCAGCAGCAGCAGCAGCAGCA